GGAGGGACAGCAGCCCCAGCTCCTATTGGGATGAACAAGCCCTGAGGGCCAGGATGGTAATGTACTGCCTCCACGCAGCTCTGAGCAGGTCTGGTTCATGCATAGACTTCTTACCACAAGCATCACTTCAACATACTATTAAAGATGCAGAACTTGGAGGAATGTTGTTAAAATGCTTGGAGTGTACAGCGCTGTGGCTTTTGCTTTCACAGCGCCCTTGTTCCTCTCCATTGAGGCTATGGATGGCTGTCCTTAGAGGGGAGGAAAGCATCTGACACCCGTGTTAAATGTCAGTGAAACAGCACTGAATTCCCACAGCAGGCAGAAGTGCTGTTAGCACAGACAGTAGGAAGCTCCAGGGAAAGAAGGAGGCATGGACCCAGCACAGGAATGACTGAATGAGCAGGAAGGGTCAGCACCCCAGCCTCTGCAAAACCTGCCCCTCCACACACTGCCAGACTGCCTGCCTCATCTGTCCAGTGAGTCAGGGTTGACAGGTCACTGGTGTCAAGCAGAACTGAGAAGGCTGGCATGGACCGGCAAGCCTCTCCCCAAAGAGTAAAGGGGAGACAGGTGAACAAGAGGATGCAAAGCAGAGAAGGGAGGAAGAAGTGACAGGTACCTGACCCCAGGGATGTTGTGATGGCCAAGACTGGGGAAGGGGAGACGGTAGCCAGTCCCCATGGGATCCCCCATCTTTCAACCCTCCCTTGACATCTCTTCTCTTGCCTTTCCAAGGGCTTTGAGGGGTGCAGTGATCAGGATGGTTCTGGCACTCATGTTTTAAAAGCTAGCTGCCAGATGTCATCAGTAGGTTTCAGAGCTTCTAGGCTTTTTCTTCCTACCCCTAAGCTACTCAGGTGGACTCTGAACAATACCTGGAGTTGTACAGAGAGAGGATCAGACATCAGGAGAGGAAAACCAGACTGTATGGGCACACTGCATGGCTTCCAGGTCCAGTGTTGGCACCCAGTGTTAAACACTGTGTTTCATGTGCTCAGCTCCTGAGGAAAGCAGGCAGTGTCCTTGGTGCTTAGTGAGAGCTCGTAGCCCTCAGTACAAGCAAAAACACAGTGGAAATGTCCCTCAGTGGCACAGACCCCATCCCCATTTGACCATCACCACCAGATGCAACCAGGGTCCCCCAATACAGAGAGAATCCCACCAGGACAGGAGAGGAATAATGAAAAGTTGCTTATTCAGAATGACACCAGCTTTAAGGGCAACCCCTCAATGCACAGCGCATCTGTGCCCAACACATCATTTAATAGAGTTATGGAGAGACTACAAGCTATGCAGCGGTCAGCTAGCTGAAGCCTTACAGTGCCACATGGCATTGGTATCATGTGGTGGACGTCGTGCATGTGTTTCACAACCAGCTACCAGATGCTGAAGCACATCTGGGAGAATGGCAGCAGGAAGAGCTCCCCCCTCCTAGGGGAGAGGCTTGCACTCATATCTCCAGGGGTGAAGTGATGCTTGAGCAGCAATGGAACAATATTGCTTTTCCTATTGCACCCTTGGCCCCCGCTGCTGCAGCAGAGGGTGAGGGCAATGGCATTCGTTTTAGTTTTCACAGCCCTCAAGAAAAAGAGGATTTCAGAGGGGTTTAAGCACAGTTCCCTAAATAGCTCCTTAGAATTAAGAGTTTTCACAGGGGATTATTTCAAGAGGCTGCCTGCAGTGGGATGAGGCTGGCGTGTGCTGGGGGAGGCGAGAGGTTGGAGAACAGGCAGGAGCGCTGTAGGTGAGCACAGGGCAGTGGTGTCCCCTTCTGAATCACAGCAAGGGGAAGAGAGCAGCATCCCACCCTCTGGCCGTGCATGTATCCATCCTCTCTGCTGGGCGAGCCAAAAGGAATGAGGAGCAGAGTGGCCATCAGCAGAAGGGACGCATGGTGGGAACAGCATTAAAATGGTTCTTCCACTGGCACAAGCATGGCACGTACCTTGGGGCTGGTATCCAAAGCCTGACGTCAAAAAGTCAACGTGCAGATATGGCAGCTTTGCTGGACCTGCCCATAGTGGTACTTCTGAAGTGTGGGATGAGCTCGAGGAGCCATCTGCATTCCTGTCTCCTCACTTAGATGGAAAGCCTGCACACGATGGAAGTGGGAAGGCTCTTCTAGCAGTAAGGATGGGATCAATTTGAAATGCTGGATAAGGGGATCAATCAGACAGAGCTTAACTAAGGGCAAATTCCTCCCTGCAAGGCTATGAATGTTGGAATTTGCAGATCCAAACATTCATGGTGGAAACTTAAATGCTGCAAAACCAGGAAAGACCACAAAACCATTCAGAACAGGCACAGCTCTGCAGAGACTGGTGGAATATGGATTGAAATGTATAAAGCGATAACACCGCTTGGCACAGTGCTTTCTGGTGCAAAGAGGAAAAGAAGATAGCTGGAATGCCATTATAATTTTGATATTGGGATGGGAATGATGGAAATTGGTTCTCAGGGACTGGATCCTGCAAAAAGCTGAGCTCCTCCATGGGGTCCTAAGCTCCAGGCTTTTAGCAGGCAGAAGGGTTGAGCGTGCACACAGCGAGAAGCTGAGCCATAGGCACAAAGGAATAAGGCTCAAGGAGAACACATGAGAGAAGAAGGGAAGTGGGGCTGGTAATAATAGAGGTAGAAATGAGGAAATAATAGAAAGCAGAAGGGAAAGGAGGGAGAGCTGTATGTGACAATGGTGGAGACAAAGCAGGAAGAAGCAAGCTGAGTTAGATCATTTCCACTGGGTGGATGACAGAGGAGCTAGTGAGGTAGGAGAATGAAAAGGAGCAGGGCAGGAGGGAGCTCAAAAGAGAAGGTCACAGGCAGGAAACTGAGCAAATGGTTAAATCTCATAAAATATTGTTATTATAAGCAGCCTGATTGCAGGCTAGCCCATTCTGCTACACCTGGAGTGATGCTCTGCACCCGCCACAGACAAGCCCCAAGTCAGAGAGATGCTGGGACTAAAATCACAGCACAGCAAATTGGAGATTTAGGAATTACCTCTGCTACCAGGGAAGGGACTTTGCCTTCTGGACCCTTCCTTCTCCACTCCCCTGGAGGAACAATCTGGATAGCACAGCCCTTTTGAACAGCTCTTCCAGCAACTGAGCCCTTCAGATGAGAGTTTCAGAAATGACTACTGACACAGATGGGCTTCACCTGACACCTGAGCTGCCCAAATGAAGTTGGAAAAATCAGGGTATTCCATGGGTTTAAGGCCTTGCTCAAGAATTGGCTCAAGAATCCTTTGCTCACCACCCACCTGCAGAAGTCTGAGTCTGCATTTAAAGGGAGGGAGGTTATATGACCTGGATGCAGAGGCAAAAGTAGGCTTCTACTAAAGGTCATCACTACAGAGATCAGAGGTTAACATCCATTTTCAACACAGATGCCTCTCACAAAGGACATACTTGTGTATAAAGAGTGGTTTACTTTGTCTCCTAGTTCATAAAAATAGGTGAAAGTGGGATAGAAAATTTCAGCTGTACTAGTGTTGGCAATGATGGGACAAGGAAAGATGACATATCTGTGACTGGCTGAGATTAGTTGTGATGAACTATGACTGCAGCTTTCAGTGTTTCGCTTTTGGCTTTACAAGATCAAACCTGTAAATTTGGTGTTTCCTTGTGCCTGTGTAACACCTGTGATTTTTTTTTTGATGCAAACACCTTAACGATCAGATGCCGGACAGGACCTGGCATCCACAACCACTAAGAGCCAGAGTACAAATACAAACTGGTTACACACCTAAAGCAGTGTTAATTGCGATGCATTGGCAAACTGGCAGGGGACCCAACCACAAAGGTCACTGATTTCAGCTTTAACGAGACAGTTTTTTTCCTCTTTACATTACTGATCCTCAGGCTGGAACACTAGTGGAAGAGCAGGTTGGCCGCAGGCAGGGACAGACAGCACACAGCCGTCCTGCATCATTTTGCAGTTCCTATGGGAGTGCAGGGCAGTTGCGCAGAGGTTCATCCTTCCCTCAGCTAGCCTCTGTAGTGGGATCCTGGGGCACTTCAGCATGTCCCCTACAAGAGCAGATCCTTTGGTAGGAAGCATGAGTGGGACATGTTTTCTAGGGCACTCATTTATGAATGTTGATTCTGAGCTGAACCTGGGAGTGTGAGCAGACCTGGCAATGCTGTCAGGGTGCCAAGGGAGAGGAAAGGCTAATTTGCACTAAGTCACACCACGTGTGCTTAGGCATGACAGGAGCTCATCAAATGCTCTGAATATATGGGTATCTCTGCATGGGGTCATTGGGAGGCTGTCGCAAACGGGAGCATCACTGTCACACCTGCACATGGTGTTATGATGAGTCACCTCCTTTCTCAAGGCCTTATAAACAAGAAATATGCTGCTGCTCTGAAATACTTCCCAGCCTTCTCTGAGCTGTTATACACTCCTCCAGCACCATCTACAACAGCTCCTGGCCCCTGTGATGTTTGTCTTGGGAGGTGGGATGTGCCAGTATCAGCAGCTGTCTGTACAGACACTTCCCAAAGCCAGCCAGCACTGGTTCATAGAAGTGGATGCAAACATGGTGGCTACATCCTACCAGCTCCCCCAGGAGCTGCTGCATTCCACCAGCTGGGACTTAGGTGTTGCCACTTCCCAAAGAGGTATAACCTAAACCACCCATAGACCCTATGCTGCATCTTACTGCTTGCCACCCTGGGACACAGCCAGGAAGGGTGTTTGGCAGGAACTACCCTGTTCCAGTTGGAGGAGATTTGCACTGTGATGGAAAGTCACCCCATCTCACAGCACACCTCTTGCCTCTGCACATAGCTGGTTGCAGCAGACAGTGGTCAGTGTAGGAAACTTGGAAAGCTTCTAGCTAAAAGCCCTCCACGCACCCTTTTAACTGTATTTTAGGGTCACAGAGTGGCTGCTGCACACAACTGAAGGGGCAGGATGCTCCAGAAGGAAAAGGTTGCCTAAACTGCTAGGCTCTGGCTCAAAGTACCAGCCCCAATGGATGCAGTGAAATGTCTGGAGACCACGCAGGGGTGAAACACAGCACCTATGAGCAGCACACACTGTCCTGATGCCCTTCTCCATTTTTGGGGTGAAGCTCTACAGCTACCAGCATGCTGGACTCCTCACTGGAATCCCTCATTGGGCCACATCCCCTCCAGTTATGCGTTGGCTAGTGCTGGTTTATGCTAGATCAATCACTAACCATCTGGGATTTGAACCTGGTGTCACCTGGCTCTCTGGGGTGACAGCACAGCTCTGTGCTATGGGGTGCTCTGTGAAGGTTCATGAGGAAAGGCAAAGGAAAGGTTTACAAGTGGTCAACAATCAGTCTAAGCTCTCCTTGTCAGGAAGAGGAAGACCTTGGAACCAGCCATTTCTCTGTGAGAGCCTGGACCAGGATGCTGCAGGAGGTGGTCACTGGTGGCAGTCCTGCAGGGCCTTGGTAAGCCGGGCTGGAAGGAAGAGCAGCAAGAGGTTCCTCTGCCAGGTCCTCTCTTGGAGAAGCGAAAGCCACTGCAGAGCCAGGGACAGCAAGCTGTGCCGGAGGAGCTGGAGGGACAACGTGGCGTGAGCAGCTACAGGGCAGGGTGAGGAGGTCCGGGCTCTCCTAAACAACAGCATCCGAGATCCTCCCATTCAAAGACGTCTTTGGCTGGAGGCCGTTGTTCTGAGCATGCACATCTGGCCTGGGCTGTGTCATCTGCTGCAAGCGCTGCCCGGGAATGGAGAGAGTGTGTTAGCCAAGGGGACCGGAGCAGTGGTGGGACAGCCAGGGCATGGCAGCAGCTGAGCATTGGGATCCCTAACCCCAAGCCTCAGAGGTGGCCCTACTTAGGGGGCGAGGAGACAGTGCATGTGGCAGGAGTTACTCCTCCAGCACCATTCAGTAACCCAATGAAAGCTTCTGCAAGTCACCTTTGCTTTGGTGTTGCGCACAGTACAGCAGCTCCTCTGTTTATCTGAATTACAGGCATTACTTGTAACACAGGCAAACTGTTACCAGGCACTACCAGCTGCAAGTAGGAGCAAGAGAAAGCTGCAATGTCACAGGCTCCAGAGCAGACCCTCTTTCCCAGTTTCTGTAATTTTTTAGCTAGTGTTGACTATAAAGCAGAACTAAGTATCCACAGCAGGCTAGCAAGGTTACTCTGTGCCACTGATGCAGGTGAGACCAGTCCTCCTGCACAAACCTTTGCACTAGCAGCAGTTCCTGTCACCCTGAGCTGATGGAATGAAAATTGCAGAGCCAAGTAAACTGAAGCAAAAATGTAGGAAAACATGGAAGGGCAAGTAATTACTGGAGATGTGGACTGAGCATCAGGAGTGATGAAGAAGGATGGATCACTTTTGCCTGTCAGGGAGAGACTGATGCTGAAAACTGCAGAAGAGAAGGCAGAGGAAGATTGAGCCTGACCTGAATATACATCACCAAGTCAGGAAAAGCTCCTTCCAGCAAAGGGAAACAACCTTCTACTGTTCAATACCACTGAAGTGGCTGTTGCTGGGTGAAGTCCCTGAGATGTTCACTGAGCCTCTTCTGCCATTCATGGTCTTCCCCTCCTCCACACACACACATGCATGCTCAGCAGGATCAAAACGACTTGTAATCTTTCCTGTCTGTCAAAACCACTTTATTCAGCATTGACATCTAATTTCCCTCCAGCTCTAGCTCTATTACAAACTAATCCAGGATCTGTGCATGTAACAGGACAAAAATTGTCTCTGTGACACCAACACACACACATACAGAAGCTCCTACTTTCTTACTGCTGCCATCAGCTTCTCACTCCTGGGTCTACGGAGAATGGGAAGGAGGTCTGGGTCTCCTGATGCGTACGGTGCTGTTAGAGAGAGGGTGCACACCAGTCACTCACGCTGCTGACTGGTACAGGTGGTTTGTGTGAATCATAGAATCATAGACTCATAGAATGGTTTGGGTTGGAAAGAACCTTAATATCATCTAGTTCCAACCCCCCTGCCATGGGCAATGACCTACTATTGGAATTGTTGCTGACCTTCAACCCAATATCACCAAAGTGACTTGACATAACACTTTGGCTTGAGCCTGCAGGAGTCCCAGTGCAGATCTCAACACCAATGGCAAGAACCTAAACTCAGCATCAGATGAGAGACCAGAAACTGGAAGCAGATCAGAGACACCAGCTCCTACATCAGAGCCCATCCAAATGGAGAGCTGGAGGAGGGAAAGTTAAATCCACCTACAACTTGACCTCAGAGGCAGGCAGCCTGACGCTGATCTCAGCTCAGCAAATCCAGCTAAAATGTTTCTGACTTGCGCATTATTCAAAATACAGCATCCATGAAGCAGACCCATGGGATTTACATGGCATCTGCTTGCTACTGCAGCTGGCCTGGGAAAGGCATAAATCAGCACCCCTGCAGTGACTTCTTATTCCTACAGCTTGCAGCAGACAGCACCAAGCCAGGGACTTTGTGCACAGTGCTCTCAAGACTGAATGTCAACACTGTAAATAAGATCTCACCAGTAATTACTAGGTCTGACACACAGAGACTCATGATTCACTGCTACATAAAACCCTGCTCAAATTATCTAAGAAAATGTTTTAAACAGGATCGGAGTTGCTAGTATTGTGTGTCCTACATGAAAGTCTTCCTTGCTTCTTAACCATCATTCACTGAGTGCCCCTATCAAAGCGCATGACAAACTACCACCATGCAGGTCTCTGTCCCTAGCAGGTCCTAGCTCTGAAATACTTCAAGCCCTCATGTTCCGGGGATGCTGACCTCTCCAATGGGAAGTGCCAAGTAACCATGCTCATAGCCAGGGATTGCCAGGAACTGGGATTCCCCTGGATTAAGAAACCTCAAGCATTTTCCCAGTCCCTTCCAGGGCTCCAGTCCCCTGCATCAAAGAGATATATACTCAGCAGAGGAGGGCTTCCTTTTTGTGATGGTGGCAATACAAAGCTCAGTGAGGCACAATGGACCTAAGGATAGACTACCTGAAGGTCTACACACTTGGCCAGACATAGTAATGACATGCTGCTCAGCAGTGCTCCCAGCCATTTAGATATCAGTTAGTGCTCAGTAGTGCTAGTAAGTCCCCTTCAGCTAGCTGATGTTGCTGGAAGCCATTCTATGCACTGGGGCTGATGTGAGTCCTGGAGGAGAGGGTGTGCAAAGCTCCTGCAGCATCAACCTGAAGCACTCTGACAGCTTTGTCAGAGCAGAGTCTGCTTGGTTTTCTTTAAGCTTAGTTCAGTGGGGGGATTACTGTAAGCAAAGAGTAGAAGAGGAGTGATGAAGCTGCTCATACCTGCCGGAGGGTCCCTGTTGACGTGAAGAAACAGTACAGCATGTATCCTGGAATCAGTATCATGGAGGACAGAGCCATAAGCCAGCCAATGCCTTGTCCCCACACAGGATAGACATATTTTCCCAGTGTCAGAGGGGTCATTTCCACCACACTGAAGAAGAACACGCCCTGGGAAAAGAGCACCACCATTGCAGGTGAAGGCATGCAAAATTGGGGTCCATCCACCCACTCTTCCCTTCACTGTCCTCTTAGTTCCCAACAGTCTCACAGCAATCCAACAGCTCCTCAATCTAGTCTAGATGGCCTCAGCCCACCAACTGGTAATTTCATATAATTTCTTATTGTCCTATGTAAAAAGCTGGAGCTGGAATATCCCTGATTTCCTTCCTCACTAAACCACTTGGACTAGTGCTCTCACACCAGCTCCTAAGCACATTAACAGGATCCTCACAGCTGGTCTCAGGAACCTCCATCTTCCTATAATTGGCCTTCTCACACCATTCTCTGGACTACTTGTGTCGAAAATACAGGAACCAGCTAAGGTAGAACTGCTCTGCAGTCAGTTATACTGCATTTGCTGCTAACTTTTGCTCTGACAAGTCCATCAGTGGCTGAGGCAGGAGCTGGAGTAGCTGAGAATCAATAATAGCTTTTTTAAAACAGCAAAATATTTGCTTATTTTTTGGCATCTCAGAAAGAAAAATGAAGAACTGATGGCCTTATTTAGGCTAAAGAAATCACCTAGAGCATTTCATATGGGTGATTTCCAGCAGGCAGAGTGAAAGAGGCTCCTTTTATTGGAGATGGGTATTACTTCACCCATCTCAAGTCTGCCCAGGACCACCTTGCACCACACCTATACTGGGTTGAGAACAGTGTTTCCCCTACACTCCATCCAAACTAAGAGGCCCTTCTGGATCCACTCCTGCAGACAGGCTGTCCCAGGTCTTACCAGGCAGACAAGAGGAGTGAAGAAGGCCCAGCAGATCTTCCACCACATGCAAGGTTTGTAGCCAATCATTTCTTCAATGTTCCTGTAAAACCTGTTCACACCTACAGGAAGAAATGAGTGTTGAAAAAACATCCTCTCTCAGCACCATGGTCATCACCTCTTCTCATAACACAGTGCAGGCTAGCCACAGCAAGAGGGTGACACTGCTGTGGCGTGAGAAGCATTATCTGGAGGGGATGTGGTACAGAGACATAAAAGCAAATTTGTGCTAGCAGCTTCCATGTTCCTGGTGTCCTCTTGAAGGACCAGAGGGCAGGATCCTAGGCATCTGCCAGTGTGCGCAGAGGTCTTTATGGTGGTGAAGTGAGATGACAGCCTTCTGATCCTGATTTGCTCGGGTTATCAACCTAAGCTATTTTCAGTTGCAAAGTTTTCATTGGCTTGGCTGTGGGAGGCTTCTGAAATAACTCACCATGTCCATGGAGAAAACAAAGGAACAATGTCTTTTGTGCTTACCATAACACCAAGAAATTGAGATGGTCTCAAAGAAGACAAGAAAGAGAAGACACATGCCACTAGCAGAGTAGTAATCAAACAGCTTGAAGACATAAATGCCACCCTGAGGAAACAAAACCAGGGTCAATGAGTTTAGTTATAGATTATGGATGACAATATCAGCTAACTGCTTGGATTGCTACTGTCTGCATCTGCTGGCTTTAATGCTAATTTCCTTGGACAGTAGAGGTGGTGTTGCAATGTTTCCACTGCAGTGTGGTTCCCAGCAGCAAAACCGATGTGCTCTTGCAGACAATTAGCTGTCTTTTTCAGGCATGGCCAAAGGTTAGGAGAAAAGCAGAGATTCACTAGGATGTCTTACTTTTCTCTGGTTTAGATGGATTAACTTAATTTAGTGTGCTCTGCCCTCCCAGGAGTTTTACTAAAGCTTGGCCTCATCATGAACCTACACTGCTTCACAAAGGGTCTCCAGACCACTCAGTCCTAACCTCCACACGTGAATTTTAGCTTCAGCCCCGGAGGCTCAGGGCCTCAACAGACTCGTCTTCTTTATGTTATCTTACCTCAGCTTGGGCTCTTCTGGCTTAAGCTGCTATTGTAAATAGAAAAAAAAACCAAGCCAGACTGACATGATGGTGGCAAAAATTACAGAACTGTCCTAAGACACTTGAGGTGTATTAATGTTGAGCAAGCCCATTTCTACAGCATTAGGATGGCTCCTAGGATGCTGTCACTTCTCCCAAAGCTTTTGGTGTTGCTGTGCTATGCCAAAGTGACTAGAAATGTGCCAAGAGTGGAAGTATGAGCATGGCTAGCTGTACCTGGGTGATGTTGGAGAATCCAATGAGATAAGAGATGAAACAGACTATTGCAATGAAGACCTTCTTCCTGGCTCTCAGGAGATGAGGATACTCATCCATCAGGGCTGTAATGAACCCTTCCACAGTGCAGAACTATGGGAAAAAGTACACATCAAGGACATAAATATATAAATATCTTAGCTGGACATCACCCTCACCTACATTTAACGCCAGCATTGAGAACCAGCATTGCTTTAAGAGCTTCCTACAAACACTAGAAGAAAAGGATGCATCTCTGCACAAAGTTGGTCTGACCCATCTTCTGAAAATGCTTCTCTCCCTCCACTGAATACAGAGGGAGCTATAAGCACTGTGGTTAAATACCTATAATTAGCTGAGATAAATCTCTGCCTTTTTGCTCCCATGGAAAGCCTCTCCTTTCTTTCCCTGAACCCTCTAGGGCCTCCCTGCCACTGCCTTGCTCCTGCATGCTGCCAGGCTCTCTGTCACAGCTGTGTGTCTGTCTGCTGCTGGTACACGTGCAGGACCTTGCTTGCTCTTCCTTTTTCATGTTTACTCTTCTCAGCCTATTGCAACAGCGCTTGTGCTGTTCAATGATCTAAAATCATTAAGGAGCTGCATTACCCACGGCCCAGTCTCACATGCATGTGCATCGTAATAGTCCTTAATAATACACAGCCCTTCATATCCCTTTTTTCAAGCACACTACATTAAATGCATGTAGCACATTAAAAGCCCATCCTCATAGCACATGGTCTTTCTAGAGCTAAAAACACCTGCATAGCTTGTGCAGTGCTATACCAGGCACAGTATATTAACACTGTCTGCACCATAACACATAAAGACATCCCCATGAGCATAACCTTCAAATTAGTTTTCCTACTAGTTCTGCCCTATGGCACGTATATATGTGAAGTGCATCCTTCCCTCCTACTTCTTGATGAATTGTGAGATTCACTTTTATATCTCACTCCCAGGAAACTGGCAACGTACAGCTCTCAGCAAGCACATTCTGCCTCTAGCAAAAATCTTGCAAGGTTTATGAGGGCAGCAGGCTCCTGGCTTCCCTGGTCAGCCTTAGTAAAGGTACAAGCCAGCGCAATGAAAATGAAAGAGGTGTCATTGCTCTTTGATGTCAGGGACATCCCTGTCCCTGTGACAGCACTCTAAAAAGTGCTGGCATTTTAAATTCAGCTTTAAGTAGGGAGACTAGAAGAAAAAAACCTAGAGTGGAGGTGGAGGTAGAGGTTCACAGGCTGAAAAGAGGAGCAGAGGGCTGCAAAGATATAAGGGAGGAAAGTGGGGAGTCTGAGCCATGCCTATAGCTGGTCATAGATGGTGGAGGAGCACGCTGGCTGCTGGGGCTGGCTTCCACTTGGAACAGGGCAAAGCAAAGGCAGATGTTTCTGCCCACGGCTTTATATCCCCAGAGAGTCAAAGCTCAATGGCTTCAACTCAGGTTTTTAATGAGCTAAACCTTTTATGTCATGGACACAAGCGCTATTAAAGCATCTTTTGTGATTTGGGCATGGGTTAAGCTGCCTTTAAAGTCATTGACAGCAAGCTCCTCAGCCCATCCTACCTGGGTCGCTGTCTGGAAGACTCAGGACTGAGCTGCCACCACAGTGTGAAGAGCCAGAGTGACAAAAAAAGGCACTGTTGGAAGCTATTCCTTCCACATGGATGCACGGCCAGGCACTGCTGGAGCCATGCGGCACCAGGCAAGGCAGAGAGGGAAAAGGGTTCATAGTGCGGCCAGGGGTTGTCAGGGGCAGAGGGTGGGTGTGAGTGGTGTCCAGAAGAGAAGAAAAGAAAAAGGTGCCTCAGATAGCAGGAGGGATTAAAACTGACAGCCCTTTGGTGCAGAAGAGGGATCAAAGGCAGGGAAAGCACAGAAGGAATGAGAGGGAGATGGATGATGAGCAAAAGGGTTACAAAGTGAGTTGAAGACTCTTTTCCTCCTACCAAAATTAAGCTGCTATGTAATGGATGAGGTGGGGAACCAAATGATGGCACGCTACTGCTTCTAGCCATAAAGCACTCAATGGCCTTTGTACTATTACTGAAAATTGCCCCATGCTAGCCTCAAGCTTCAGAGGTGATGCAGCCTGGAGGAGGCTCCTATATCCAGCCCTGGGGATTGTGGCCTGGGAACCTTGGGGTCCATCTTTCCCAACCTGCATAACCCTCCTTAGGTGCTTGCATGAGATTAAATAGGCGCCTTCAATCTACTTTCCAGAAAGTTTTGTTTTTCTCACCATCTCCAGCCACTTATTTAGCATATGTGGCTAATATATTTAGCACATATTCTGTTCTTCCTCATGCCTCGCCCCATGATACCGTTTCTCTACTAAATATTTTATTCCCATTCAGAGCCTCTTTTGCTCTTTTCCCCCTCTAGGGGATTAGTCGTTACAGAAGCTGCCATGTCTGATAACGTGGGCTTGGGAGTCAATATAAATGCCATCTTGGTCTGAAGGGAAGTCTCTCTCCCAACCTCTTCCAGTATTGGGGGCCACACATAACACCCTGTCTGCACCTGTAAGGGGGTTCAACCACAGCTAGCAAATGTGCAGCAGAGAGCCATGAGAGGGGGTCTTGCTGCTGGCAGCTGGAAATTCCCATGAATAACCTGTGAGAGACGGCCTCACATGGGACAGACGCAGGCTTGCAGTCACAAGGCTTGCTAGCTCCCCTGGGGACAAAACGCCTGACCTGAAAACTGGTAGGTTAAAAGAAAGCATTAGCATGTTATGCAAGAGGGTCTAGACGCAAGAGAGCTAAAGTCCGGGTGGATCAGACCCAGAGTGAGCATTAAGGCACATGAGAGGCAAGTGGGGGCACAGGAGGGAGGTGCATATCTATCGATATAGGTCATTCATCCCATTCAAGCAACTGCAGATGCAATGAGGCAGAGGTAGTTGTGCTACATCTGCAGAAAGCTTGCTATCAAAACTAATGGGCATACGTGAACCTACTCCCACCATACTTAAGGGGTTGGGCCTTGTCCCTGCATTGCAAATGCAGATCTCAACCCTATCTTCCTTTGCTATTCTGTCTTCCAAGCATCTCTGCTGTAGAGATAGTGACAAGGGACAGCCCTGCCCATCAGCCTTGGGGATGCAGGGTGCAAGAAATGCCCTATGGCCCTGCCGTGCCTCATGAGCTGGGATGCTGACCCAAATGAAAAATGGCTACTCCCCATCTGTAAATGATATTTAATCAGCACATAGCAAAAACAACTCTTTTGGTTTCGAACTAGATGCCTCAAAACACATGTGCAATTGTAGCTGTTGTTGCAGGCTGGGCTATTTGTTTTATACACGTAAGCTGCCATGCTGTTAATGGTGTGTTTTATTGAATCAGAGCTCCAGCATGCAGACAGAAAGCTTCTTCACATGTATTTATCTGTGCTTTTCTAAAAGCTTGCTTTCCTTTTGATGCTTTGTTCCCTCCCTGTCCCTCCTCCTTCTCTGGGCAGTGATATCCCCCATGGACAGCTTGCCCTCCGAGACTGGCAGTCAGAAGGGACCTAGAGAATTTCAACTGCTATTTCAGAAGCAAATGCAGCAAACGAATTCCACACAGTGCTTAGAGGGCTTATTGTCATGTCTCAGACTATTTACCAGGGCTGGGTGAATAATCCACCGAGAGTACTATTTTTTTTCTGTAAATGTAGCTTCTTTTGAATCATTTACTTATATTTGAAATTATTTGCCAAAGAATGTCTGTGGTCATGCAGAGGTGAGCTTTATGGTGTGTTTATAGGAGTGTGCCATAACTGAAATCCAGATTTGGTTGATTAGATTTTCCTGGAAAGCAAATGTGACATTTCAGGAAAAGGTCTGAGTCTCATTAGAAAGTAGTCTTGGCTTTATGAGCACTACCTGTTATCCAAGAGAGCAGCCATTTTGTACCAGCGGTTTGCAATGAAAGGGAAGAGCATGCCAGCACAGGGGAGGATGTGACAGACGAAGCATAGGCTCTTGAAGGACGCTTTGGTTTTGATGCACTCAAAAGGGAGCCATGCTGCAATTCACTGCTTCACTGGGTAGCTACTTTTATGCTGAATTATCAGAAAAAAAATTATCACTGTTTGTAAAAACAGAGAGACTGTGATTTCTTTTGTTTTGTGAGGGGCATGAGGGGGGCAGGAGACCTTTTGTTACATCCAGCTGCTTCACCCTCAAATATCTCGTAAGGCCTACCTGATGGCAAAGCAGTCAGGGTACCCAGCCTTTCCCAAAGCATGGCTCCTTCCTTCTGCCAGGACCTACCCCTGCTCACCTACAAACCAGGCCAGGGTGCTTCAGCTCTGCTCAGGGACACTTTTATTGTCAATAATGCCAAAACACAGCATCAAACCACCATCCTCACACCATGGGGGAGCCTGATTCAAACACTGCAACACTGCCCTTCTCAACATTGTGCCAGAGCACTGGGTCTGGTTGGAGGCTAGTACCTTGTGTGGACATGCTTCTTCCAGCTCCTGAGAGCAAGAAGATGGAGACTTTCTACCTAGTCTATAGAAGTAAGCCAAAATAATGTCATTTTCTTGCCTCATTCTCCGTTAGGGGATGGAGGAAACTGTGCCTTACAAGAACAAAGCAGTTATCACTTGAGATAAATCTTTTTCCTTTTTTTCTTTGCTCCAAAATATTTTGGCATGAATAGTTTCCTGCTAGCCTCACTTAGAGCCTTTCAGCTCAGCTGCCAGAGTCACCCAGCAAGATGGGGACATGCTGTGCTCATACAGTAGTGCTGGCACTTCACTGGGGTCAAAAATTGAACTGAATGGAGATAAGCTTTCCAAAGATTCTCCTCTCCTAAGGAAGTGGTGACTGTCTTATAAGGCTGGTTCTGCTGGGCTGCTCAAAGCTGGTCATTACTCTTATTTTTAATCAGCAGCACGAAAAGGAGCAGTGCATTGAGTAGCGGCAAGATACCACCACACTTGCAGTATATGTCTACATTAGGGACAAGCAGAGAGGTGATGACCACACGGGAGGATTTGTTTCATGCAGCTGCATCTCACCAGGTAAGAAAAGACCCTGCTCTGCACTGTCTCAGGATGTAAATGGGACACCATCATCGTATGTGAAGATATCTTTGCATGTTACCCCACTTTGTCCCTGCGCAGTCTCACCTGACTATCCAGACCCAACATCATCAGCATGGAGAAGAAGAGGATAGACCAGAGAGGGGACAGGGGCAGCTGTGTGACAACCTGTGGGTAGGCGAGGAAAGCCAGTCCAGGGCCTGCAGTAATGAAAAGAGGGATAAGCCCATGTTTATAAAGCATTTGATGGGAAGTCTGATCTAAGGGATGCAGTTGAACAGAGAGAGTATGATCAGTCAAGAATTGCAGGTATTTAATATAGGAGTTAGAAACACCAGAGCCTTCACCCGTGACACATCAACTCGGTGGGGTGCACAGGGGTAGAATGGGGAGGCACTGAAGAAATGCTTTGCCTTTTCCCTTCCTGCAAGCAAGCAAGTCATCAAATCATTGCTACCAAATTGAGCTGGAACACTATGCTACAAAATAAACTGATATTCAGAGCTTGTTATAACTTCCCTGATGGTTTTGTTTTTTCCATCACAAAGCACAGTTTCTTGAGATAAAAGCTTTCTCAGGTAAGGCAGTGATTTCAAAATATGTTTTTCTGCAAAAAGACAGTGTCCCATCTCGGGTAAGAAATTATTCTGTGATTACAGTTTCAAAATTTTGCATGGAAAAGGAATTCCAAATGTTGATTACATCTACTGAAAACATAGGCAGCTCTCCATAGGGAGGATTTAGAAAGCAAATGGCCTAAATATTTCACTGCAGCAAAAGCAGATGAAACTTCAGCACTGAAAGGAGGAGATAATTAGAAGCAGGTGATATTCCCTGCAGCCAGAGTGTGGTGAACATCATCCACAGGTACCTGAGAACTTTCTTGGAGGGAGGGGATGCCAAGAGGGTTGCACACTTGGGGCCTGGAGCTTAGGAGCATACCATGTTCACTAACAAATTGCTCTCAGAGGTTGCTGTTACATCTGAACTCAGGTTTTTGCTTACCAGAGGAGGCCAGTTCTGAGATTGACTTCTTTGTGATGTGTGACATGAAGCCAACAATAGAGAAAATAACAAACCCAGCAAACACGCTTGTGGTGGAGTTTATACAGCAGACAATGATGGAGTCTCTGGAAGAGAGAAAGAATGGGAAGAAACCACCTGCAGGTCCCTATCAAGAAGCCAGGAGGGAAGGGTGGGCTAAACAAAAGACCAAGCCCTGCCAAGAGCAGTTCCTGTGCCTTGGAGAGGTAGCATGGGTGACACCTTACATGTCCTGCAGGCAGGGAAGCCCCACTGTGGTGATCACAGTGTGCCCCTTAAGCTGCATGTTGCCAACGAGGGAATGTTGGAGATCAGGCACCCCAAAATCCCCATGCCCCCCTGCCTCACCCATGAGCCATGCAGGAGGCTGGTAAGAAACAACAGACCTGTAGACGTTGTTGTGGAAAGTGTTGTAGCTCCCCAGAGCGATCAAAGACCCCAACCCCAGGCCATAAGAGAAGAAGATCTGTGTGGCTGCATCCATCCAGACCTGTGGAGAACAAGCCGAGAGAGGAGTGGGGCAGGAGTGACTCCATGCTGCAGGCACATGTCCTGCAGCACCTTGGTGCAGGGCTAGCAAGGGGAATGCCACAGGAGCCACCTTGAAACCTGTAGCTATGTTATGCCAACCAGGATTTTTTAACACAGAGTATCTTGTCCAAACAACTGCAGAGGACAGCTTGCAAAGCTGGTCCCAGTGCCCTAAGCTCTTAAAGCCTAGAAGGCACAAGAACAGGGGGCAGACTGTTCCTTTCTTAATGGCATAGTATTTAAACAACTCCTCTGGTCTTGAGAGAACATTTCCAGGATTAGAGCCAATGAAACTGGCAGTACAGTTACAGTGGTGTCCTGCAAGAGGGATCACTGGAACCCTTCGGAAATGATGGGTGTCTAGTTGTCTCCACTCACACATGACTGGTGACTCTGGAGCCACAAGAGTATCGCTGATGCAAAAGGCAGAGTCTGTGTGTCCTGAAAAACTTTGCCTTTGCAAGCCATCATGCTCTTCCTGGGTCCCCTCTGTGCTTGCACTGCCCAATGCAACATTACTGGCCGCCACTCACCATTTAAGGCCTTCCAAGAAAATTGCTGCTGTGTACTGCTGTGCTGGTGCTACTTCTGAGGCCCCCATGCCAGTGCACAGCATCATCCTATCTCTGGGACCACCAGATCAAGCCCAAGTCATCAGCCCTGGGACAGTCAGTGAAACAAAGCATTCCCAGCCCAGAAGGGAGTTTCCTCTATTGGGGAAATAAAGGAAACTACCCCCCACCCTGTCCTATGGATAACACTGCTTGAGTACACCAGAGCTGCTACACAGATTGCCACCTGCAAAGGGCCTGCTCTCCAGCTTTGCTCAGTCTGTGAGGGTCATAACTGCTTGAACAAGGAACTATTCCAGGGGGGGGGTTAATACTTAATATTGAAATGACCAAGGAAGATTAATGCAAAGACCCCCAGGAGGCAAGAGCATACAAACCTCAGAGTCAGAGAGCTTTCTGAAGTCGGGTGTGAGGTAGAAGAGGATCCCCTCCTTGGCTCCTGGCAGTGTGACTCCCCGGAAGAAGAGGATGAAAAGCATGAAGTAGGGGTAGGTGGCTGAGAAATACACCACCTGCAAGAGACACCACAGGAGAGAAGTCATCAGCTCACCACTGCCCAGGAGCTTTCCTGCCCGTGGTGGCATTGCATTCGGTGTGTCCCCTGTGAGGAAGAAAGGGTGCCCACACACAGCCACTTCTGGCAACGTGTTTTCTGTCTCCCGCTCCCATGCTAGTGATGTTTCTGGCTGTTTGAGGTTTCTCCCTGCCAAGGACACACAAGGACACACTAATCACAAAAGTAGCAGGCTAAAGTCTGGATGAATTGCCCAAAGACAAGGGAATTGCACAGGGATAAATTTAGTCCACAGAAGTAATCCCTTTAAGTCATCACATCCTTACTGAAGAGCTAAAACATGTTTCTCTAGTCCAATGCATCAAGCAATGTGAGTCTTGACTCCACTGCTTTCTTTTCAGCACTGTTTCAGGGACTTGTAGGTACATGACACCCCTCATCACAGGGCCTGTACCAGCAACTGCCGGGGCTTTGCTGTGGCTGTGTAGCTAAAACCTATTTGAGAGCCATCGGGGAAGTTAACAGCTCAAGTGACCTATGCCTGAAGTGCTTCTTTCTGATCTCTCCTCTAGATTATTCCTTTCATAATATTGTCCCGCTACACCACACTGTGCTCCGAATAATACATCTCAGCATCTCAGCACCACTATTACACTAAACTAAGCAATTACCTTTCTACTGCTCTAGCCTGAAATGCTATACAGTGAATAACAACACGCTTCTGATCTGAAGGTCTCCCTCCAATCAATACCTAAAGGGCAGGAGGAAGATTTTCAAAGGAGTTGATGAGTTTTATTTCCACCAGCAACATTTTAAGAGACCGTGATTTTCAAAAGGGGAAGCCGAGAAGAGGCCTTGGTCTCTCAAAGGGCTGTCCCAAGGTGGGAAGTGTAAGTAATCTCTGAAAATCTCTTCCCAAGTCCCATAATCTTAGCTATAGGCACTTAGACAAATTTGAGCCCAGAGGACATTTCTATAGTACAGCATTGAGAGGCAGCACTGAAACACCTGATCCTTGCACCGTACCTTGCCTGTCCACTCCACACCCTTCCAGATGGAGAAGTAGACCATCAGCCAGGCCAGGGCCAGTGTGCCGGCCAGGGGCCAGCGGATGGTGCCGGGCTCCCCCAAGCCTCCAGACATCTGGTGCATGTTCCTCCTGGGGATGGGAGAAGTTGGGGTTAGGGGAAGTCCATCCCCTGGGGACAGAGATCCTGGAGGTGGCTGGAGGGTGAAGAGCCAGTTGCAGACAAGCACAAGAGACTGTAAATCCATAAAGGGACACTGTGGTGGGGTAAAGGAAGTAGAAGAGAGGCAGAGAGGCTGTTATACTCTTTATCCATCTGACCTGCAGCTGTACAGTGCACCCCGCGCCCACCCTGGCCAATGGTCAGCTCTAATGCCCTTCTGCCAAGGCTGACCAAGGAAAGGTGCCAGCAGGCACAGCCACAGCCACAGCAAGCAGGCGAGATGGCCACGGCAATGGGGAGAAACCTGGTGTAGGCAGGCTGAGGACGTACTCCCAGAACTCGGTGACAGCGCTGGTGAGGTTGGTGGTGTCGCCCAGGGAATAGTTGGAGAAGCAGCGATCGGTGTTCCAGGCATTCCCACAGCTCTGCCACGGCAGGTCCTGCACCGGCACAATGAGAGCAGGGTTATCATTAACGTGACATCTCCCAAGGGCAGCAGCAAGAAGCAAGATTTGGCTTCTTTCAGACTGAAACCCCATTTATTCTTGTGAAGAGGACAGGCATCTCCTCTGGATGGGCAGGAGCCTTGTAGCCAAAATAATGATAAATTGTGACATGGATTTTCCAGGAAACAGTATCATGATGCGCTTATAGGAATGCAATAGCTCTAATAAAATGTTAGCAATTCCCCGGACAGAAAGCCATTTCCAATTAATGGATGGTAATTAATAGCTACTAATTAAAATAGCTACTGGGGGATATTGTGTTTGTAGTCATTACAGCTTTAGGCTAGCTTCACTCAACAAGTGGTTGGAATTTACTTCACAAAGAATAAACACTGATTTATTTCTTATCTCTCATTTATACCAAGCTTCAATGCTTAAAAAGCAATGTAGCATTGAGAATGGGAGCTAACAGTTTGTCTACATGAATAAACTACTGTAACATAAGCCCAGGAGTAAATTTAAAGCATAGTAGCTATTTCATACAATCCCTGCCCTGATTATAAGCAGCACAAAGGGATTCCTGGGAGATGTTTACACAGTAGGTAGCAGTGTGACAGCAGCACACTGCTACAGATTTAATACAATCAGCTCTGGCACTACAAGCAATGAGACTACAGCATCAGGGCTTGCATGAGCACACAGGGCAACCCACCCATGCCATGTAGTGCCACAGCCAAGGCAACCCAACAAGAGCAGTAATCGGATTTCCTGAGTGTAGTGCATGTAGATAAACACAGAACGGCTATTCTGGATGATTTCCCTCTGCAGAAAAGTCCTCAGGCTCCAGCTCAACAAAGCTTTAAGAATTCCTATTGATCCATGAGCACAAACCCCTTTAGAAATACTATCTGTGTTTTAAGTGCTTTGAGGCATCAGTGCCTTTAAGTGCTGCCTTCACCTGCCATCTAAATCAGTTCACTGTAGCAGATGATACCTCCTAAGGTTCATGCTGGCTTGGCAGAAGAAGGGCTATGGTAGATACAGGCAAGGAAACCCCAATGGCCACTCAGGTTGTTTGCACCCACCCAGCGATTTTATTTTGGACTTGCTGCTTGCACTCAAGCAGATGCAAGGAGTCAAGCAGCACTTCCAGCAGCCCTTCAACCAAGCAGTTTGCAGAGACTTATAAGTCCACACATCTCTCATAAGGAGGGGCAGGCAGGGGAAGAGTTTGTTGCTTCTTCATTTCCTCTGAATTTCAGAGGATAGGAACTGTGGAAGGCAAGCTTGGCTCCTATTCAGGTTCAAAACACTCCCAGTCAAATTTAGAAGAGGCAGGGGACAGGCATCAGTGTAACTTTGTTATTGGTACCTTTTGGGAATCTGGAGTTATCTATCTCTGGTAAAAGAAAAGGTCGAAGGAGGTGATCCTGCCCCTCTACTCTGCTCTCATGAGACCTCACCTGGAGTATTGTGTGCGGTTCTGGTGTCCTCAACATAAAAAGGACATGGAACTGTTGGAACAAGTCCAGAGAAGGGCCACGAGGATGATCGGGGGACTGGAGCACCTCCCATATGAAGATAAGCTGAGAAAGTTGGGGCTGCTCAGTCTGGAGAAGAGAAGGCTGCATGGAGACCTCATAGCAGCCTTCCAGTGTCTGAAGGGGGGCTATAGGGATGCTGGGGAGGGACTCTTCATTAGGGACTGTAGTGATAGGACAAGGGGTAACGGGTTAAAACTCAAACAGGGAAAATTTAGACTGGATATAAGGAGGAAGTTCTTTACTGTGGGGGTGGTGAGGCACTGGAATGGGTTGCCCAGGGAGGTTGTGAATGCTCCATCCCTGGTGGTGTTCAGGGCCAGGTTGCACAGAGCCTTGGGTGGCATGGTTTAGTGTGAGGCGTCCCTGCCCATGGCAGGGGGGTTGGAACTAGATGATCTTAAGGTCCTTTCCAACCCTAACTATCCTATGATTCTATTCTATGATTCTAAAAATTCTTGAGCCACACCTCTGGAGCTGCCTGTGCAGATATAAGCGCTGTCACCAGTCAGGTCTGACACCTGAATGTACCAAAGCCTCATCCTAAGTTACATCCTTCTCAGGGTGTAACTTAGGATGGGTTCCTTTGGGGTAGACTTCTTTCCATTTAGGAATCCCCTGAGGGTGCACCTAATAATCCATGACCAACAATTCTGTTCTCGACCCAGGATCCTACAGTGGGTATTGGTGGTAGAAGCACAGCTGGGAACACCAAACAGACTATTTTACCAAAAATCTTGATATGCACTTGAAATCAAACAAAAATTCAAACTGGGTGTACATCATTCAGAGCAGCATTTCAGGTTTATATCTAAACGAAATGAGAAAAGATCTCATTTGAACCATAAGGCTGGTATCTTTAAGGTTGCAGGTTTCTCAGAGAGTTAAGTTGAGGGAGATCTTGTCAGCTGCTGGGCTGAAATAAATAATTCAGCCACCAAGAAGTTATTGTGGGATATGATTCTAACCTTGTATGGCAAAAGACCCTGCAATAGAGGAATCCACTATAAACATCAATGCCAAAGTTCATGCTAAGGGACAGTCACAAGCAGATGTTTAAATGCTTTCTGAATCTTTTTCCTAGAAAAAAAAAAAAAAAATCCTTTGTATTTCATTTGTCAAGAGAAGTGTAAGTGAGGACTAATTGAGGTCATGACTAAGTCCTGGGTAATAAGAACATGTTACAAAATCAGTTGTGGAAATGTGCAGCTCTCAGATTCACACAGCTCTAGAAATACAACAGGGTGAGTTTTAAAGACTGACATGAGTAGGAACAGCTCCCAGAGAGAGGATGAGGCCATCTCCTTCAGAGGAATATTATCTCCAGAAGACAAGCATCAGTGCCGATCAGCACAACAGCCTCCAGAGCTGATGAACCTCAGAGCTGATGAACCTCTTCAGGAAGCGCACAGCAGGGTGCTGAGAAAGGTTCATTGCACAAACTACAAGCAGGTAGCACATGTTTTGTGGCACAAAAAACTCACTTCCCATAAAGCAGGGACTAAGAACCCAAAATACACTCAGTGCTGCACTGCAGACATGTCTGTGACTCACCGCAGTGAAAGAGTTGAAGAGATAGTAGAGAGCCCAGGCAATGATGACAATGTAGTAGATGTTCAGCCAGAAGGAGAGAATCATAGCTGCCAGTCCCACTCCTGCGAATGAAGGCAGAGAGCAGCACCATGAAGGCAGAGAGCATCAAACAAGATCTCTGGTACTCATTTGAGCTCGTGGGCGCCATAGTAAATTTTGTGGCAATGCCAGAAAAAGCAAATCAGCTCATCAACACAGCATGTATTAGAGTCGCACTGTGAGCTGGTCAGCAAGAGAGGCTCATTCCCTCAGTCTCTCATCCACCTATTTCCATTGGGTGTTATCTTACAGTATGCTATGGGTACTTTGGGGACAGAGCTCCACGAAAACAGGATCTGGCCGCTTCCCTGGCAGAACTGATTTTTCCCACATAAAAGGCATTTCCAAATCACCACTAGTTTCCAGAATGTAGTTACTCCATTCATGGCAAGAGGTTCATGCTCCCCGTGTACAGCTTTCCCGTGCAGTTAAAGTAAGCCTCCATAGGGAGGGTTGGATCAGGTCTTCTGCAGCCAGAGCCCCTCCATTGCAATCCTGCTGCTCATGAAATGCCTTCTTACCACACAAGATTGCTTAAAGAGAACACAGTGATGTTACTGATTACAGGTGAAGGATAGCTTAGTGAAGACAGAGGGAAAAACCTCCCCTCACCTGCACCCCATCCCAGTCCCCAGGGATTTGCTGATTTGCTTCCCAAAAGAGTTTTTGTCTGTAGTTATGTGCCATCACCTTCACAAACTGACAGTACAGTACCTTTAAACATGGGAGCTAACTTCCAGACTCCCAATCCACCGACAGAGGTATACTGGCCCAAAGCAGTTTCTAGCAGGAAGAGAGGAATCCCAGCAAACACCAGCGTCAGGAAATATGGGATGAGGAAGGCCCCTGAAAGAAGAAGCAATGTTACCAGGTGGCTACCCCTTTTGCCATGAAGCATATACCTCTAGCTGCAGTTTCTTGCTCTGCAGCACCCAGGTAATGAGGAGCAGACTTGCCTGGAGGTGACAGCTTACAACTGGAGTTGGTGTGTTCAGTGAGTTTCCCCATGACATCACCGCTGCTTTCCCCTGATCTGTTCCTATCACTATGGATATATATGTATCAATCATATATATGCATATACTAGCATCACTAGCTTTGTGATGCCAGTCCCACTTTGTTGTTAGATACTTAGGCAATCCTAAACCCAATCTGACAACAAACCCAAACACTTGGGCACTGACACTGGTAATTCCTTCTTGTTGGTATCTTCTGTCATACCTGCAGCAGCTCCCAGTTCTTTAGCTTGTGTTAAAAGGGCACAGGAATATTTTGCATTGGCCACTACTTTCTTTGTTTACAGATATTTTAGTCTCTTAAGGAAACTGTGGCTAAGACTGTATTTGCTCTCTACACCTCCCCAGCCTTGTTCTAGGTTTTACCCTGTAAGTTCCTGGCAAAAATACTGTTTTTCTCTATGGGTCCCATGGAAATCATCTCATCACTATAAATTAGTTAATGCAGCCATTTACTAGAGATATTACTTGCACTCCATTATTAGAAGAGCAAACAGAATATGAGAGCCTCGCCATGTGATTTGAAGGCTGTACATGTTCAGATCATCCTGACTTCTAGGGCTTGGGACAAAACTCATTTCCCAGCTTCCTCATGCATGTGCTGGAGCATGCCATCATTCCTGAGAAGGACAAACTCTTGGCTGCGGTGAGAAAGGGGATGCTGTGCAGAAGCAGCTGGCCGTGCTTGGGCCAGCACTGGTTTCTGCACTAGCCAGGGGGCTGAGCTGTCAGCCTGAGTTTTCTTCTCCAGATACTAGTGGTAAAGCAAGCACAGAGCCAGCAAGCACAGCCACTCTGGAACACTGCAGCCCAACTTACAGCTGGCAGAGCCAGGCTCCAGCAGCTGCTCTCCGTGGGCTGGGAAGCAGCGAGGCACAGCCAGGGATGCTGGCTCAGGGGACACCCAGCTGGGGACACTTGCCTGCCAAGCAGGGAGCTGAGCCCAGCTGGGAGAGGCAGGTGCCAGCAGCCGGCAAGGGAATGCATGGGAGGCAGCATGCAAGAGGAGCTAGCTGGCAGCGGGTGGCCGGGAGAAAACACGCTGCAGGCCAGCAGCTCGATGACCATGAGCCTGAATCACAAGCTGGCATGGAAGTGCAGGCTCTCAGCTTCACCAGCAGCCTGGCATGGAGGAGCAAACAGCTTTGGGCATCACTGCCTGCTCAGCATCCTCCCCTTGCTAGTTGCCACAGCCTGCAAGCTCCAGCATCCTAGGAGCCCTGCGGGTCTCCTCCAAGAACACGGATGCTGCCTAGCTACTGCTGTACCTCATTGTAGAGTTTGGAGATAAGGATTATCAGCAGTCACAGTGCTTTGCTCACTTCTGTGCAAGCAGCTAATGAAAACTGGCCACAGGCCTGATGATCCTGTATTTCACATCTACATCAAGCCAGGAAGATTTGTAGGTGGGAGACTCAATTAGACTGTTGAGAAAAGGAAAAAAACAAACTTTTGGACCCAGGTTATTTATCCTGGCTTGATAAAAATCCTCTGGAATAAGGGAAAATCTAAAACCAGACTTGCAGCCTTGAACTGAAGGCTGTTGGCAATGACACTGCCACTCTGGAGGGTCAGGTCCCTGAGGAGGCATGGATAGCATCCCTGGGTGCCATAAAGCCAAAGGGGAAATCAGTTCTGAAATGTATACCTAAGGGTTGCATGCCTGTGCCTAAATCCTTGGCACAGAGAGAAAGGGATGGTCTTTAACCTCCAGCCCTGGATGGGCTGCGGAAAGGTCTGGTTCAGTTCCTGGGCCTGCTACAAATGACTGTGTGACCTTGAGAGAGTCCAAACTTGTCTCCAAAGCCCATGGGTGATGGTGCTGATCCTGCCTTCTCAGGGCACCAGCTCTTGGAAGCAGGGAAAGGATCACACAGCACCTGGCCCTCACTGTGCAGCCCCAAGTCCACCTGCAGTCTCCAACTCCTGATGCACAGCAGTGCAAGGAATGACAATTAATCTTCAAAACTGCAAACGCTGCCCACAAATCAAAAGTTGAGCATTACAAGCTGTTACATGCCATTGCTTTGAGTCTCCTCGTGTAAATGAGAAATGCATGATGCTTATTTAAAGAAACATCTTTTCTCAAGTTATTCAAGCTCAGGATCACACAGACAATTTTTAGTCCCTTCTGAGCTGCATATAGAGTCAATTTAGATCAGTAGAATCCTGTTGACATCAGAAGGACTGCATGAAATTAACAATCGGTGTAGAGCTGGAGTATTAGTCATAGCTAGGCACATTGAGCAGTGTGCAGGGCCAGAAGGGAGCCCCGGCATCACTTTGGGTAAAGCCTGCTCCCACAGCAGATGGGCCTCACGCCGCTGGGCTGAATATCCCCTAATTACGTGCCCTATTACAATGCCGAGCAAATCACCCGTGAGCCGATACAGTGTGACAGTGGTAAGCGAGACGGCAATATTTCCATTCAGTTCAATTTGCCTGTGCGTAATGGAAGCAGCCCACACGACCATGCTCTGAGCAGCGCACATGCAGCATGCTAAAATTAGGCTCCCACCCACAGTCTGCTCTGCTCCGGAGGCAGAGCCAAGACAGTGCCCACCCGATCGCGAATCAGATGCCGTGCGACCCTTCCTCGCTGCTCTGCATCGACTCCCAGTGACGCGTTCGTGCGTCAGCTCTCCCGCCTGTCTCCGGCATCAGCAGCCTCCACTCGCTGCTCATTATTGCCGGCTATGGGAACAGTCATGCCTGCGAACAGCCAGACCGGGTAGAGGCGAGCGGAACGAGCCGTACAGGCTGACACGAACGGCACGAACCGGCAGACAGGGAAGGGGTTTTGAGAGGACACGGGCACCAATTGTCATGTTTCTTCTGCCCTGTGTTTTTGCTCGCAGCCAGCTGATCCCTCTGTATGCCTGCAGCTCACCCTGTGTGCCACTGCTAGTGCTAATAATAGTGCTCCACACCTCCACAGCACCCTCCGTCCTAGGATCTCATCTGACTTTATATGTAGGACTGATTTTAGCTTCAAAACACCCCTCATCTTATTACAGATCTTGTCACCGCCACCTCTGTGTGTGAGGAGACAGAGCCACAGGCAGCACAGATTGGGTGCGTTTGAGATGGCGCAGCAATCACAGGGCAGAGGCTGAGCTGAAAACCAGTGCTTGGGACTTAGCCATGGGGCTAATGTTGTATGAGGAGGGCTATTGCAGTCAGGTTTCAGAGTGTGGCTAGATAAAAATGGCAGAGCTGCACCATAGCTCTGGCAATGATGGTGGCACAGGCTCCCCTAGGTAGGCCTGGCTGATCCCCATACACCTCACCCTGCTCAGCTGCACACTCGTACCTCTGCATGAAATGATACTGAATTGGATAACTGTCCAGTCTCCTGCTGGGACTCACCCCATGTGCTTCAAAGAAAGGGTCAAGATCCCCCTAAATGCCATAGAGCTGCAAGGACAGAGCACTGCAGGGAGCTAGACCACGCACCTCTTTCCCAGCATGGGAAGAGAAGGGCATCCTGTACCACCTACAGCACAGACAGCAGAAGTGGGCTGGAGATATGAGGAGAAGTCATGAGAGCCAAAGACAAAGTGGGTCTTGAAAAGGGAATTCAAGGCAAAAGGAAAAGAAAAATGATGTGGAGAAGCAGTGTGAGAAGAGACTCTTGAAGGGGAGCTGAAGCACAAGAATGTATTTTCAGACTTCATCCAAGACAAGCAGAAAGCCTGTAGCTGGGGAGACAGTTGATCTCTCAGGTCTCGTGACTTCTAGCCCAGCACTGTTTCCCCATCTGCCTGCCTTCCTCTAGCCTTGCAATGCCTTGGCAAAGTCCCAGCTGAGAGCTGATAAAGGAAGGATGAAGTGGCACAATAATAAAAAGAATGGAAAAGCTGGTGTTAGCTGTCCTCAGAGGAGGGCACTGCTATCAGCTGCATCACAGCTACTGCAAGTCCTCTACCAGTTGGTGCCTTCTCTTGTGGCCTCTGTTTTCCAAACATTAGGATTAAGATGGAGACAATAATTGTGACCCTTCTCACAGCACTAGTAGTAAGTCAAAGCTTATTTCCTTCCACAGATGATGACACTCATGTTCTGTGTACGTGTACGTATGCATGCATGCGTGTCTATACATCTATGCTGCCCTGCTATGGTCCATGTAAAGCTTCTAATCAAAACTCCTCAGAGATGTGACCCAAACTCAGATGCAAAATGGTTATCCCTTAAGAATACTCTAGATGGAGAAGAAATCCACTATGAACAGATATAATCTGATTTCCCTGGGAATGCCTCAGCATCCAGCTGGGTGCCTGTGTGAATTTATGTTTATCTTTGTAAATAAATGCGGTCCCAGGCATTCTGTAGCTACTGTAGCCCTGCAAACTTGAACTGCAGAAGCTTCACAAAACTCCTTGTTTCTTTGGGCTGCTTCTTCCCAACCCGCACTTGCTAGTAAGCCCACAGACTATGGGAACTGTCCTGCTGACAGCTTAATAACTCACGTCATGGAGCTCTCATCCAGGTGACCAGCCCCTTGCCCAGACCTGCACCAAACAGAAGCCTGTTCAGGGGACAAGACTGCTCAGGGATGAGCACAGTGCTGTGCATTTCTCTCACCTCCTCCGTTCTTGCCACAGAGATACGGGAAGCGCCAGACGTTGCCCAGCCCAATAGCATAGCCCACGCAGGACAGCAAGAAATCAAATCTTCCCTTCCAGGAACCTCTGTCTGGGATCTCCTTCTTCTTCTTGGTGCTCACAGCCTCAGGGGTGATGGGCTCTGACTCCTCCAGGGCTGCCTGCTTCAGGTCAGAGGGAGAGCTGAGCTCCACGGAGGTGTTGTCCATCTTGCCCATCGTGACTCAGATGTATGGGCACTCTTGTTCTGGGGATGGATGAGCAGGAAGGGCAGCCTCCACCCTGGCCAAGCACGAACAGAATGGGAAGTGCTGGGCAAAGCTCCTGATGAAAAAGATGAAAAAAGAAGGTATCCTGTGTTAATGTAATTGGCTTAAGGGAAGACCTTGCTGGGTCTGAGGTGGACTCACTGGATAGACTGGTGCATATCAGTGCAGCTTATCCACGCGTGTCTGCTTTCAACAGAGAGAAAGAGAAGGATAATTTTGTCTTTCTCCACAGCTGCCCTTCCAAGGAGACCTGGTCATATAGGCTGCTGACAACAGGCTTAGACCGGGTCGTTACCAGCATGTAGCAAACCCCTCAACTTTCATCTTACCTCCTCTTCATCCCAACACTGCTCTGCAAGAAAAACTCCAGGACGCATGTGCATGCAGGGAAGTCATAGTCTGTGGGTGACCTGCCATACAGCAGTCCAAGCAGAGAAATATAGCTAGCATGTCTGAGAGACAGTGGAGAAGGGCATCCCCCAGGTCTGGGGCCCAAATCTGAGTGCACCAGATTTGTGAGATTGTGTATGGCTGTGATAGTACAGTTTGCAACAGCAGCCCCACTACGGACATGCCCCACATTGCAACTCCGTGCCTTAATCTCCTGTCATAGCAGTGGCAAAGCTGTGATCACAGCTGTGCACCTGCAATGCCTGGCAAGGAAATCACTGATCTACTCAGCACCATCTTGTACACCATGTTGAATGTGATTGATACTCAAATTGCCAGGTGTATTCAGATGATGCTTGATAGTGACTATAGGCAGCTTGTGAACCATTGGAATCCCACTAAGTCAGGGCTCCAAAGCCCTGAGAATTATTTGTATGAGTCTGACTAAACATCTAATTAGTATTTCCATTCTTTTTAGGTCCTAAGAAGTACCTAACCAGGACACCAAAACCGTTCAGGAAGAAGAACAGGCTACATTATTACACCAGTGTCTGAAACAGTATTGTACTCATGTCTTGAAAACTAAATGCAGTTCTCCCTTTCCTGTAAAGTCAGAAAAAGACATGGAGGAGAGCCAAAAGGAAGCTCAAAAGAGTGGAACGTCTTCCATGTGAGGAAAGGCTAAATGAACTAGAACCCATTGGCCTGTGGAAGAGGTGACTGACAGGGGCTTATAAATGTATCAGTGTTTTAGAATATGAGTGTTCACCATTTCTGATGGAAGAACTACAGGGGATTAGACCAGGAGAGCAGGTGGTAGGGTCAAAAAGAACCTTGCGTCCACAAAACGCACAGCTATGGAGCAAGACTCCCCACTCCAGGACGTGCTGGATGCTGAGAGTTTACATGACTTCAAAGAGGAAATTAAGAGGAAAAATAATGGAAGGAAAATCCACCAGGTGCTACCACTGCAGTTCAGGAAATCCCTGAGCTATAAGTTGCTGGAGGTCGAGGGGCTCTTCCAAGGAAGTATCACTCACTACTTTTCCTGGTTTTACCCTCAGCATCTGCCCTCAGCCAGTGCAGAAGGCATTCTCAGTCCATTTTACACAGAGCTGAATTTAAATGGTGGACTTGGCAGTGATGGGATAGAAGTTGGACTTGTTGATATTAAAGGTCTTTTCCAACCTAGTTGATTCTACGATTCTAGGAGGTGGCATGCTCTAGCAGTTAAAGCTGGCCTTGCTTGAGCTGATTATTCTTGTCAGACTTGTAAGCAAACAGTACCCATTTGCACCATGAGATGATCAGGGGACTCATTAACTCCCATTTCTGAAGCATCCTCAACGCAGACGGTCTCCCAAGCCCAGGCTCAACAGCAGTATTGGCTCCTGCTTACTGTAATGGACACCCCATGGTTACAACAGATGGATTTCCTTCTCCCACCAGATTTGTTGCTGAGGCTAGAAAACCTGTGTCAACTGTGAAGGGAATGGCTGAACCAGAAAATAACTGTGATCCATTCTGGTACGCCATTGGAGAAGCCAGAAAACTTGGTGGGGGATGAAGAGTGTAACCAAACCCCTCTGAGCTATGGAAGCAGCCCTGAGCATCACAACTCCTCTAGCCCAAGGATGGCTGCAGGTAAGCCCAGAAGTAAGTGGCAGCACAAAAAAGCCTTCTGAGGAGAAAAGACTGTTTCACATAGCCCATGAAGCAGATGCCAGAAGAAAGCATTGCTGTACAGACAAAGAAAAGCTTTGGTTAACAGATCCCGTTTCTGTCCTACATCTTGTGTATAGCAAGCACCAGCTCCTGTCTCCTCAGTAAGGCAGGGAGAAAAAAGATTATACAGATCATGTAGGAGGAAAGTAAAATAAAGACAATTTATAAATCAAAACAGCAGAAATAGTATCAAACCCCCTGGGAGGAATTCAGAGCTGGGCTAAGTCAGGATGTTTAGCTATGCCTGGAGACATTACAAATTAGGCTCGGCAGAAGCCATTTTGATTCACTTCTCTTTTTCTGGGACAAAAAACAGTAGGTAAGATGCTATCCTTAAAAGTAGGCATATATCCTGCTCTCCCTTCGCTCTTTTCCCTGTTCTTGCTGCCACAGTTCTGGACCAATTGAGGTGGTCACGTCTTGTATTCAGTATACTTGGTGGGAAGATTGTAGAGGAGCAGCAGAGCACACTGGCAGCTACTTCTTACCTGAGAAGTGAGATCCTTCATCTCCAGCTCAGATAAAATAAACTAGATTTATAGTGGTTTCTCCACAATGAAGAGATAGAGGGTCAACAGCACCCACCTAGGGTTCATCCCAGTTACTGCCCTGTCTCCTACAGTGATGGATGACTAGGGAAGAAGGGCTCAGTCATGTCCCACAGCCCAGCTGTGCCATGTCCTTCCTTGGACACACAATTCTGACCAGGAAAAATGCAGTCACTGGTTGCTCCAGGCTGAGTGTGTGACTCCTATGTTTAGATATCAGCTCACATGCTGGACAAGCGGTCTACTGGGACAAAATGCATCAGCCCCTCCACTTATCCACATGCATCTCCTCCAGCATAAGCGCAGGGCTCTGCCCTGTGCTGACAGCCTAGAGAGAGCAGAGTCAGTTTGAGTAGCTCTCTGTCATGTCACATTATTCATTCCCAAAAGCACACGGCACTTTGGGCACACCAAAACGCCTGAAGGACTTGAAATGATAATCAATAACAGCAGAACTACAAACTGGAGGTGGGCTCCGCTTTGCAAGGACTTGAAAACAAGGTCAAAGAGTTTAAACATGACACTATTGAAGATTTCTCATTTGACTTCTTCTAAAGATATCGTATTCTGAAGCTGAGACTTTCAGAGCAATCAGGAAAAGCAAGGGTCATAAATCCCTGGCAGTAAAGTAGTGACCTGAGTTCCACTGAGTCGTGCAGAAGGCCTGGTCTTTTGCTGCTCAAGTCAATAAAAACAATTGTGTGTGGTCCCCAGCGGGTGCAGAGCCAGGCTGAAACATTCTGGAAAACAGCGCTTCCCCTCCCTTTCGTGAGGAATTTCACCTCAAATAAGAAAACAGCCCTGAAAAAGTATTGCCTCCACTTGGAAAGCTACGGCCTGAAACTGCTAACAGCAGTGACCTTTTGCTTTCCCCTGCTTCAGTGCGAAATATTAACAGTCTCCTCCAATTCAATATAAACCAAAAATTTCAAAGGCATAAAATTGCCTGAAATGAAACAGCAAAATTAGCTGTGGAAACGCATGTAAGAAATACTTTCACACCTCTCCACCTTTTATTTTTCAGTGCTGTAACAGCCACACAAGTCACTTCTAAACCATGCAGGTAGAGCCACAATTAGTTTAATTACACAGCACAGGCTGTTGTTCAGTCCATTAGACTTCTCCTTCCATCCACACCATTTTAATGACAGCCAAGTAGCCCCAAGGCTCCTGCGTCTTGTTAAGAGCCATGACCGGCTGATCAGGGCACAGCAGATGCTCAGCTGATTTTCTGCTTGCTGCAGCAGCAGAATATGCTTGAGCTTCCTGCATCCATGAAAACCAGAGGGTCTGGAAAAGAGCCCCCACAGGAGCCTGAGGGTGCTGGCCCCACAGGGAGCTTGCTCAGAGCTGAAGCATCACTGTCCTGCCAGCACGGTCAGGCAGACAGGGCTTGTGTTTCACAAGCTGGTCCACGTGCTGCCCAAGAGGCAGCCGCTGCAGTCACCCAACCTTTCATCTCCCTTCCCCTGAAGAGAGGCGATTGCTTGGTTACAGGAGAAATCAGCGCTCACAGAGGATGTGAGAAGAAAATAAATCAGCACTCCTGGGTGACAGAGCTGCCAGGTGGCGTGCTTTTTCCACTCTCCTGCATGAGATTTGAGCTGCTGATGTCCAGGTCCGATCTGCAGCTATTGCCCAACCTCTCTTCTCCACCAACATGCCCGGGTGATCCATGGTGCTCCTGATAACGTGGCAGGTGAGGTTTATAGCACACCACAACCCTATCCAGATGAGGAGAAGGGGCACACATAAGTAGTGTTTTGTAAACCATTAAACAAACAGGATACCCACATGAAGCCAGAATGTCTTGAAGCCCTGAAAAAAATGGGCGAAGAACTGCTGAGCTGCAGCCTACCATGTGGTTGGTTTGCCAAGCAACATCTTAATCTTTGTGTTACACATGCAGGTGGAATCAGATCAGCTACTGTGATGCCCTCCCTGGTTCCAGATGGATGCCCACTTGGCTCCTTATCCCTCAGGGGAAGCAGGGTCAGATCCTACTCACAGCCATGGGCTGTGCTTCACCCACCACTGCTGCTCTCACCTCGGTGGCTGGGGCTGTCTCACACTGCCTGTAAGGAGAGAGGCAAATAATGTAGCCTCTGGCCCGTTTTAGAGCTCCCATGTAAACCTCATCTTGAGAAGCTTCCCCAGGGAGGAGAGAGCTGGCAGTGCTCTTCCTCAGCTCCCATAGACTATCTAGACTCAGCCTGAGCAACTGCAGGATGAGGCTGGGCCATGTCCTGCTCCTCTCCTGTCAGCTTCCAAGCACACTGCAGGCAGCTCCCTGAGCCCCCAGTGGCTTTGAGATGGTGAAAGACAAGCAAGCGCCTTAAAGGCATCCCTGTCTCCATCCTCCTCAGCAAATTACAGCATTAAAAAGA